GGAGTGGCAGGGGTCGAGTTAAATACTTGAACCAGGTAGATAGGAGACGGATCCTACGGGCCAAGAGGAAGACTCTGATAATACATAGGGAAGAAGGACTGCGTAACAATATGGCAGACTCTGATCAAAATTCCCAGCACAAGGGTGAAGGGGGATGAGAACGCCAGTGTGGTATGTGGAGGGTTCACATAAAAGCATTTCACAAGGTCACACCACGCTAAAATTAATTAAGCGAATAAAAATTGTGATTGTGAAAGCGTGATACGAGGATATAGGAAAGGTGAATAACCCATGACAAAAGGAGGGATCCTACAACTGTTTAGCACACATTTGATCAAAGGATCGGCTTCACTTGTCGCTTTGACGAGTTGTAGTGTGGTGCTAAGAATAGCAAGACTCACTGACAATGCCGGCGAAACGTCTTAGAATGTACCACGCCCACGGTCCGAATTTGGAAATTATCATGTATACAATGGCCTCCAGAATAGGTGCGTTCCTCTAAGTCTTCCTGTAAATATGACCAAGTTGCTAAAACAAGGTCAAACAACTTCTATACAACGAAAGGAGACTGCCACCACACAAAAGGCCACACCAGCTTAGTCTTCATATCTTCGATAATCTAGTCATTTTTATAGCCTAGAACCTTTGTTAACAGTCAAACTGCTATGTAGATGTTATAAATATAATTCAGAGATTATTGATTCGTGGCAAGATTTATTTATTTTTTGTACTATTTTGACATATATATATATATATATATACTTTTTGCCTCCTTTATAGAAGGGCAAGATGTATTATGCTATATTTGCTGTAATTTCTAGGGCTTTAAACTCTTTTGCGACAATAATTCAACGGGTTTTTTGACTTCATCTCTCAGATCCTTGACTAATGAACATATTATATGATCCATGTTCAATTGTCTTCCTGCATTTCGCTTTGTTATATCTTTGGTATTTCGCCGATTATCATGAACTCTAATCAAAAATATTACTGCTAGCTTTTGTTATAGAAATTCTAGGCATGTTGTATCTTAGCTTGCATATTTTCCAAGCAAATGATTATCGTTTTTATCATGCCTAAAAAATCCCATTAAATCTTTCTTTTTCTAGAGGAAATTAAATCAAAAATTTTATAGTAACTTATTTCTGATTACAAGAAGAACCAAACTTGATCCCCATGTAATGCCACTTTTAACAAAGTACTTTTAAACCGAAGCCTCTTTTTGCAGCAGCGAAGATAGTCCCCAGATATTAGCTATCTCTTTAAATTTACATCAAAGTTTTTATATATTCTACTTTGTAAACATTCGTTGATGCCTTTTTGTTGTTTGCCCTAGAATTCACCTTAATGCAGTATAATATGTTCCTGATTTGCTGCAAAATTTAAACGTAATTCATTTACTGAAACTGGCTTTATCCAGAGCATTTTTCAGAATCGAGTATACTTACTTTCTACGATCATTAAAAGTGGGAGCTATGTCTAGGATCTATGGGCATCTTGGCAACTTAGCCACCAATATAAAAGATAGTGAACTATATATCAGAAGATATGAAGGCCAAGATGGTGTTGCCTCAGGTATGGTCGCTATCTCCTTTCGATTTATAAAAGTGTAACCGTGATAGTGTAACCGTTTTCGTCAGAACGTTTGCCGAAGAATTTACTGCACTTCTCTTTTTAACGAGTTCGTAGCTTGGTGCGGAGAATGACAAAACTCAATGATGATGCTGACTACAATGCCGGCGAAACGTTTGTGAATGTACCAAGTCCACTGTCTGATGTTGCGAATTATGACAACTACTATGTCAGACGATTTCGGACTAGGTGCGTTCTCCTAAGTCTCTCTGACAACAAGACGAAGTTGCGTCAACGAGGTCAACTCACTTTTATGAATTAGAAGCATAGTTCAGCAAAAACAGTCTCACGCAGCAAATACTTATGTAATTCTCTTAGGGATTATCTAGCGTTTACAATAAAACACAATATCCAGTTTATAACTAGCACTTACGAGCTAACCAGTGACTCGTTAACGCCAAGCAACATATTGAGTATACAAACTCTTGAACCAAATTCTCGGTTAGGTTTAAACTTCATCTGGATATTTAAGCCGGATATTTAAGCAAGATGAATATTTGATATGGATGCATTATTAAATGAAAATAGATTGTCAGAATTTGCCAGAGTGTTCATCTGAGGGTTAAAGCTTCATTAAAAGTTTATTTAATATATTTTGCCTTACTATAAATTTGGGAAAATGACACTATATTTAAAACATCGTATCATCATTTACACAAAACTACCGATCAACATATGAACATATCTCAAGGAACTCGACTATAGTGGTTCCGGTATTTTTCCCGAAGCAGATTTGCTCCTGAATTCATTAAAAATTGATTCCCCTAGATCTTCTTTGTAGTCAATTTAAAGTTTGCCTTATATTGAACAATACAGCTATGTGTATATTTGGCAATATAGACATTCAGGAAACATATAAACGTAAAAGATCCCGTCCAGTTGTGTTATACAGATTCATTGATAGATAGAAAAGATTAATAAAGCCTCACTAGTATATGAAGGAAGAGCAAAATTATTTATAGGATTGTAAATATATAAAGCCTACTCACTTAGATTATTAAGAATGACCCTCATAAAGGCTGGTACTTGTTCCAGAAAAAGCATTATCATCAGGTTTGTCTTTGATGTTCATAGAGGATTCTAAGTTCATATGGCCTACCGAAGGCCTTTCATATCCCAAAGAATCTACATAAAGTCCGAGTTGATTTCGCTTCCAGAAGGTGGGTTGATCATTTACCATTTGAGGAAAATTCGTAAGTGCATCAAATTTTAAATGCTCTTCTTTCAGGAGACAGCGCGGCTCCAGATAGCTGTCATTATCTTGCTGACATACAAGAGGTTGAGGAATATGGTTGGTAACTTTCATTGAGATACCTGAGCCATCATGATGCAAGGCTGTCGAACCCATGAGGGAAATGAC